GCGTTGTTGTGAAATATTTTACTTTTAATTAAATTTGTAAAATCTATTTACTAGGACTTTAAAAACATTGAAATACACAATATGACGCACACCAAGTACGTTTCAAAATTTTTTTTTTAATTTTTAAATTTACAACAAAATTTTTTTTTTAATTTCCGTAAATCATAAACAATCAAAAACAATCATATCGGTTACTAGGATTTTTTAATTTTTTTATTTTATATCTTTTTGTAAAGAAAAAAATTAATTTTTTTTTCTTAATAGTCTTATGAACGTAGACTTGGCGCGATTTTTTTACAGTGAAACTGTTTTTGTTCGGATCTAGTATATTTCTACCAGACAAGTCTGTGTATCAATCTTGAAATTAGACACAATCTTCTAGAGAGGACATCTTAATTCTGCTCACAATCGCACTTATTCGTGCCTGATTAATCTTTGATAATAATCCGTCTTCCTCGATAGTAAGGATTTGGAACGTGTGTAAACGAACGTGCTGTGCCTTCCTTAATTTCTACTTTGTAGAAACGAGCATTGGGTAACCGATAATACTTATCCTCGACCCAAATGCCAACAGTCAGAGGCGCGAATTCATCATCTTTTTGAGGGATGTCATTAATCGTGCAAACTTTTGTGGTATTTCCTTTGGGAACTTCTTTGGAGACTTTTGTGGGATCTTTTTTCTCCACGCATTGATCTGGTCGTTTCACACTGGACCAGCAAGCAGAAGCTAATCCATTGGTTCTGCCGTCGGATACCCCTGTTAAAACAAAAATTAAAAAATTAATTATCTAATCCACTTCCAATTTTTTTTTGTGTACTTTACAAATCGGATAGAAATCAGCGCATTTTCAATTGAAAATATCACTAAAACTTACATGAGGTACCCAGGATGGCCACCAGTAAAACGAGTAAAGTTTTGCTGACCAACATTGTACCACGGTGGTTTGATGGCAACTGTGTAATATCTGGCCAGTGGTGGCTTTTATAGCATAGGTTTGTAGACTAATAGCATCCCGATGATGTCAGTTGACCATTTCAAATGTACTTGCATTAATGTCTACTGTAAATACAAAAATAAAACTCGTACTTTCCCGTGGCCTGGTGACGTAATAGAAGTTATTATTTTTTCCGATTAGTCATTAAAAAACAAACTGATAGTAGACATTATCAGAATGAGACATGTACTCGGAAATTTTTTGTTATCAATCCCATACGCTTGACTATGGTTATTCAGTTTATCAATGGAAAAAAACTGTTTTTGAATTTATTAAAATTTTTTTGCATAAATTATCTTGACTCTATTGTTATAAGAATAATTCTTTCCAATCAAGATATAAATTTTCTCTTTCACACAATTCAGATTATATCCATGATCTGTACAGAGAAGATTATGGTTGTAATCAAATTAATTGTTTGATGATTTGTCATCAATTGGCGTACTCTACTAGTTTATTCGTACTTTGTAACTAAGAAAACTATCGCATAGAACAGCCATCAACTTCAAATGAAATGAAAGAAATTAAGAATTGGTAGCTGCTTGAAATTGAAAGACCACTATCTAGAAATCATCTGGCGTCTTTCCAATGATTTCTAGACGAAAACAATCTAAAAATAGTGACTGTTCTTCACTTAATAATGCAGAATGATGCTTGTACACTGTTTAGGATTTTCCTATCATAAATGTCGTCTTAGTTGTGATCAGACACTGAACGCATGATGTTCCGTAAAGCCGGTCTTCCTACTCCACGTAAGTTATCATAAATTTAATATGGAATTAATCTAATCGTCGTATTTTTATTACTGAATTTGAGTGCAGAGTAGCACTTCAATTTTCAAATTCTTACTTCAACAGGAGCACCAGAAGGTAGAAGCAATACCAGTAACCAGTCTTTGGTTGTCAATCGTCAAAGAGATCGATACCCTAATGAAGCTGTTTTAAGCTTCGATGTCACTTTTCTGAAACTTGGGAATAACTCGCTGCTTATTACTGGAATCTAGACCGGAGAAACATGTCATCGCTTACCTATCGTATCTTCATACAGAATATAATTGAGGAAGGGCTCAGAATCATCGAGTATATTCATACCGAATCCATTCTATCCAAGAACATTAGTATGTTAATATCATAATCAAAACTATGTAGCACAATAAAGATATAATTTTTGGAATAGTGAGTTTTATTTCAAGATTGACAAAAGGATTTCCAGGAAACGTCTATTAGATAATTTAAACTCAAGTGGATAAGTCAGCCAATCTGGTGTAAAGCTACAAGCTGTGACAGCTCTTAAAACACAGCTAAGAACCAAAAAGAATTACCAGCTTGCATTTGTACAACAGTAAGGTATAATAATAATAACAACAACCCATGGTTCTGGTTTTCCCTTAGATTGTACGCTAATTGCGCTATAAATAGGTATGACATATCAAGTCGATTACTTCAATACCCAGAAGCGTCTATCAAAAGACCATTTAATTCAACCGATGTTAATGATCCAATTGATAAAATTTTTTTTTGTTCTATTTGATAAATTATTATGATTATTATTGTGCACGTTAATAGAAACTCATTATCGGTAGATTCCGTTTTTAATGAGATTTCGATAATGACTGCAATGAAGATTCTTTTTTTTTTCAGTGTGCATGAACTATGCTAATTAGTAATTAATATAATTGGAAATATTAGGTGCAATATTTTGTCATACTATTAAACTTTCCAAGGAATCACTAGATGCATACATCGATTATATTTTATAATGCAGTTTACTTTAGGAAGCTGATGGTATGAGTAAAACAATAGGAAAATTTTTAAAAATTGATAGTTAAAAAAATTTGAGAAACGGTTTACCCTGCAGACTATACCTAGAACTTTTCGCTAAATCTAAGTGCAAAACGCTTAATATATTTCTTGCCATATAATTTTGATCTTAAAAATATTTTTTTGAGTTCAAAAAACAGTTTTTTTTTTTTTTTCATTTTGAATGTCATGTGTTTCACAGCATTCGATACAGTTTTTAGGCGCAAAAAGATAAGATTCTACTTTAAAAACGATGTTGCGCAAAATTCCGACGTTATATATAAACAACCCTTATTAGAATTTTTTCAACGTATCCGTTGAACAAATTTAAAAATTTTGATCTTGAGATAAAGCTCTTTCGAATGCTGCAAGTTTTATTTTGATCGGTCAAGTCGGTCAAAAGTTATAAGAAGTTAACATGAATACATATCTAGCGACATCTGTATTAAAATAATTAGAACTACTTCTTAAGACCTCAAAACGTGATTTGCATGGAAAAAAAGTGATTCTAGATTTGTATCTACATGTGGTTCTAAATTTGTATCTTATGTATTATATCTATATACTTATTATACAAACACAGCATGTACTATACCACTGAACCTTAAATAGCACCACGGTGATACAAAATTAGAATCATATTTTTTTCCGCGTGATAAGAACTTGATTATCAAAAAATTGAAAGAAAGACAATTGAATACATCTATTGTATAGTCTAGGAACTCTGTACAATTATTGAAAATAGAACACTTAAATTGAGTTAGGATCCAGAACTTATTGAATAAAACATAATAACAACATTGAAATTACAATTGCTTTTGGTATGCCTTTCAGCGTGAAAGTGGTGCATCATACAAATCCACAATCTGTCGAACAATAGGTGCATTAGGGTTACGTCGGTTCTTCAATCCGTTCAGCAAGTGTCTGAGGCCGCTTCCAGATGGCAACTTATTGCGGTGAATACCTCCAAAATTGTTTCCTGTTTCAATTACGTTCATTGGTAACGTGACAAACTTCTTTATGGCTCCTGATCCCTTACCGGGAACAATCTGAATCATTGGCGACTTCCTATGACTCCAATACATTCCTCTAATTATTTCTTTGTTCTCCATGATGTTCCTTCCCGTAATATGGTGGACTTGGAAATTACCGTCATATACGTTCCGAGATTTCATAATGTTAGGTCCATAAATTTCATGAATTTGATGTTGGCCGATATATACATTATCAATCATCTTAACTTCATACGCACTTATACGATGGTCTTGCTCGGATCCGAAGAATCCATTGTGCTCTATTGTGACATTATCGGCAAGAATTTCGAAATTACTTTCGGAACTCCAAAATAAATTGTTTTTCAGCAAAACTTCTGGAGCTCTTAACCTACACGGGCGTTCTATGGCCCTAAACTCGGTGTCAATTAACTCAATCTTGTTCCCAGTCAAGCTGGAGCAATTTAGCATCAGCACAATTTTATGGTTCTGAGGAAACTGTTCGGTTGACGGGGGGACCCATTGTATATTATTAACCGGCTCTGTATTAACCGGCTCTGTATTAACCGGCTCTGTATTAACCGGCTCTATATTAACCGGCTCTGCATTATTAACCGACTCGGTAACTTTACCCACTAAAAAAAAAACAAAACAGGTAAATCAAAACTAACATAATTCAATTAGTAATTTCATGGTAAAGATAGCCATTGAAATCATTTAAATAAAAAAATTAATTAATATTTGTAGAGCGTATACAAAACACAATTAGTACTTACATGAGGTTGCAATGAGCGCAGCGAGCACAAAACCTACTTTGCCGAACATCTTGTCGAAGCTGCTGAGATTCAACTGTGAAGTTCCTAATTCTGGTTCGGCTTTTATTCGCTCAGTGTACAGCTACGTCAATTTATCAGTAACCGTCAAACTTTATAATTTTTATTATTGAATTGATAATGGGTGACTGTTTGAAGTAGGTAATTTCGATCACATGACTAGGCTACGTGAGTTGGATCCCTACCAACTAATGTGGTCAAAATGGTCATATTACGTCAAACCACTGAATCATTCTAGTTCAAATCAGTTATTTCTAACTCCCTGTTGTTTTGTGTTGTAGGCATCGAAGATATAAAGAGGCGATGAGTAAGCTTGTTTGTTACAATAAATCGTACGATGGAAAATTCCTCTCCGATTCTGGCATAGGGTATCAACATCGTCCAAAGTCACGCTGTATGTAAGCGGCTGTTATGAGTAATGGGATGACAATCTCGTACTCAGCACGTGAATCTGGATTGCTACTCAGTACATGGGTACCGAATGAACTTCTAGAAAATCCATTTACATCCCAGAATTTACTGGATTATTGTCTCCTATCAAATTGATGCGCTCTCAAAAACAGTTTGTACCTGCTACGATTCAAAAGTTCACCACCCAGCAATCCTATGGCATCTCTTAAAGGTTTCGAAGGATCTCATCCACAGATCTAGACTTTGATTATCAAAAAAGGTTCTCTCCCGGATTCAGTGGAATCCGAGTTATGTGTAGACATTGCTATTTTTAGCGGAGCACCGTACGTTCCACAATACTAATGCGTTGAACACCGTTCACCTGGAACACCCGGATGCTAGGGGTTCTTAGTACTATGTCAAGATAATATTTTTTCATGAGGTTTTAGGGTGTGATTTTTAGTAGTATATTAATTCTTGGTAAAGAGTGAATTTTTTATGATCCAAGAATTGACAAATGTGAGTTGCTTATAGCTTTTTCAATTGTCGTCTGAATAATTGATTTGTGTAGAGAAGTCGGATGAATTGCTGAAGGAATAAAGCGTTGATATACTTTACGCATGATCATGAGTAATATTCGATAAACAATGGGTTTATTCATGAATAGTTCATTTTTTCTTTAATTTTTTGTTATTTATTAGTTGATATATACGGGGGAGTATATATATATATAAATATATATCTATGTATATAAAAAGAACTATACCTAGCCATCAATAAAGTCATACTTGCTGCAATTTTATAAATAACACAATAATAAAATGATAATTTTATGTAAATGAATGATCTCGAGTGTAACATTAAATGATTTTCAATATTATGCAAGAGATTTTTTTTCAACTCAAGTTTGTAAGAAATTCAAATGTATGATTTATAAAAATATCATCAGAATGATGATACGTATCGTTATTCTGACTATGCGTCGTTTACTCATTTTTCTTAGAGATATTCTGTATAGCCAATTCAGCTATACAGCGGATAGTCAGGATGACGATCCGTATCATTATTTTAGGCGATACATTTAGTTGACTTGATTATAAAGATCCTCACATTAATAAAACAGTTGCCTGTTTCCCTTATTAAAAAAAAAAGATTTAAAACGATTCAACCCATGCAAAATGTAGACGGAAAAAAATTTCTGGGAAAATTTACGATAAAACTATTGTAAAGCTGGACTATACTTTTATTACTATTAATTTTCAAATATTTTAGAAGAAAATTTACTATCTATTCATGAAATTTTACAACTTACTATTGTAAAAAGTAAGAGATTTAAATTTCCAGTGCTGTCTCTGTATCTTTCCAATAGAACTATAACAAATTTTACAATAGTTGAATGGGAATGTTTCTCAATTAGTGTGAGCGATGGTCGTGCACATCGCTATAGACTCCGAGTTTATGTAAATGTTAAAGGACATAAGTACAAGTTTACCTCGGATAGCCTAGAGGGAGAGTTTCTGGCTGCCAACAAAGAGTTCTGGGTTCGATTCCCGGACAGGACAAAAATCCTGAACTTTTTTTCGGTGACTGTATAGGTACCAATAAGTCCAACCTCCTATCTCTCTCCCTCCCTAAAATTTCTTTTATAAACCGACTGTCAATTTTTACAATAGTTGAATTGTAAACACATATTGTATAATTTGATCTATATTATTCTACTTTTTAAGTTTCTTGCTAGCCTTGTTTGTTGGATAAAATTTACAATGAGAAGTATAGTCCACCGTTACTATTTAATTTAATGAAAATTACAATAGTGAAATAGTAAAAATTCCTTCAATTTTTTTTTCCGTGTACATCTATATATTTGTCAATTCGAATTGTTTTGTGCTATTAATCGCGTTGAGCCATTTAGAATCGATTTAAATCTTTTTTTTTAATAAGGGTTTGACGAAACTACATATATTTACAAGAGCTATTCTCTGAATGCTTAAGTGAAACGAATGAATTCTTAAATCAGAAAACCGAATTGTTATTTTAAGGAAACGTCATTTGAGAATACGTTGGATAGTTATTTCAACAATATTTTTTTTTTCGTGTATGAGAAATTTTTTATTTGTGATTATTATTATTGTCATCTAAAAAATGATTTTTGTTTTAAAACTTATATTGATACTTTAACTTTCTCTTGTAGAGAAACAATTCAGCGATCATGCGTCTTCTGTCGGAAATATTTAACACTATGTTTAAACAAAAAATTACGTATAAGCTCGCCAAATCAGATTTGAAAATTTTTTCGTGAGTCGTAAGACAATTAAATATGTAAAAGAAACTTTAAAAATTATGTATGAATATAAACTGTGGTATTTTAGAATTGCCGCATATTTTTATGAGAGACGAGACAAGCTCTGATTAAATATATCTACGTGTATAATAATTCGAAGAAATTATGAGCCAAATTGAAGAACGCGGCTTTGAATGTAAAACTTTTAATAATAGGCTTTTAATTAATCTTTTTTTCAATAATGAAGACCCAAAAACTTTTTCGAAAGCGTTTTACATCAATGAAAAGTTATATTTACATTCAAAACTATTCCAGATAGAGAAACACAATGTTAACAATATTTATTGCCCAATAATGTAAAGAAAAAATCTCACCAGATTTTGATCAATTTCAGTTTTTTGTACACTGAATAATAATCAAATATCATTAAAAAGTATTTCTCAAAACTTTATTCACTATTGTTAAAATAAATTTTCTAATAGAATGATACACTGAAAAAAAAGTTTTTTTCCACCCAGAATGCAAAGTATTTTTATCCAAGTTTTTTTATATCCGATATACGTTTTCTTAACATAAAAAAACTGGTATTTTTCTCCTGAGAATACCAAATTTTTTTCTGGAGCTAAAACTTTATACTGCGTTACCATAGCAACCGCAACGGTGGCGCCGCCAATTCTCTGATTTCCCTCCAATTTCACAGTCCTGGCGTGTTTGCTTACATCATTGGAAAGTTGTATATATTAATTTATTTTTTATTTTTATTAATTTTTACATGTGGAATTTTTTAATTAAATTTTTTTTTGTAATAATTTAAATGCAATAAAATTCTAAAAAAATTTTTAATGTCTGTCAACTTCAGTGTCATTCTTAAATTTAATTATTATAATTTAATTTATTTAATTTTCTTAAATTTAATTATTATAATTTAATTTATTTAATTTTCTTAAATTTAATTATAATTGGTAAAATAATAATTATTAATTTATTAATTATAATAAAAAAAATCCACTGTATCATAAACATTTCGTATGCATCTGTGTCAAGTGAGGTTAAGTCGGCCATATTTTTATTTTGGTATTTTGCTGAGAAGGAAACCGAGTTTTTTAAAAATCACTATACTTATTAGTGTAGGAAAAAAACTTTGGTATTCTCCACACAGGTATACCAGTTTCTTTACAGGAGGGAAAAATTTCCTAGGTGGAAAAAAACTTTTTTTTCAGTGTAGCAATTCGTCCCCTTTCTGTGTTAACCTCGTATCTCCATTTTTTTCGAAATTGAGATTTTTAGCGAAAATCACTCCTTAGCACTCTTGTAACGTAAAACAAAACATGCAATGTTCATAAAGATGATAGAATTTTTTTTAGAGGCTTTTGATTTTTCTCGTATCTACATATTCGAATTCAAAAACCTCGTATCTACCGTAAGTATCGCCGAAAACGTTAAAATGGCGTTGTTGTCTTCATACTGAATGTTTGTAAACGTGTTCACACTTAAGTTGACTATATTTTGTTGTTTGACATTTATTTTTTATCCATATAAATACATACAAATATTATTTAGCTCTTGAGCTCAAAAGTCTGATAGAAGTTTGATGCAACAATATTTTTTAAATTTTCAAATCGCGATTACTTTTGAATAAATGGAACGATTTTTACGCGGTTGGTGACATTCAACGCAATTTTTTAAGCCTCATAAAAAATCTTTAAATTCAATTTGATCGAACTACGAATTTCGGAGTAATTCTGAAAAAACACTTTTTTTGGTTTTCTTTCGTCAACGATAACTCACGAACGAATCAACCGATGTTGACCGGACTGACAGCAATCGACGTGGTTTATTAATGTTAAGAGCTAATTAGTTTTTGGAATTAATCGGTAAAGCCGTTTAAAAGTTATTCCAAAAAAACCATATTAAAAAAAATTTTTTTTCGTAGTTTTTTTGAGATTTCTTAAACTCTACCGGTGCGAATCAGTCCAAATTATATTTAAAATCTAAGTTCAGTCCTAGTTATATTTAAAATAGTCCTAGTTATATTTAAAATCTAAGCCCTTCCAAATTGCACCAACTGCGATAAAATCGGTCAAGCCGTTCAAAAGTTATGAGAGGTTTACATACATCCACGTACACACATACACACATACATACATACAGACGTACAGACACCATCACGGGGGTGGTCAAAGAAGCTTCCTGAGACCTTGAAACGTCGAGATCTAGTGAAAAATCAATTTTTACAAAAGGGGGTAAAACCAATAACTTCCCGATTTTTGAAGATCTCCGATTTTCTTAGCGGGAAGTTAAAAATAATTAAATCATATTAT